GGATGTCAGTTTGGGTGTTCCACTCAATTTCCTGGAAAGAGCTTGAACCGCCTCTCCTTTGGGTGGGACGTCCAATCAGCTCCATACTCCCAGGCCAGCGGAGTGCCGTGTGATACCACGGAACTGAGTGCTCTCATTTCTGAAACACAAATTTGGAGCAGATGTGAGGAAAGAGTGTCGTGCATTTCCAAATGCAGCCGTTATCAGGCAAGCAGGCAGGAGGGACCACGTTATCAGGGGCCAAGCTTGTGAGTCCCTTCCCTCCATAGCACAGCAGGCTTTCTGGGCAGCCCACCAATGGAAAGGCAGGCAAAGGTGGCTGGCATGGCATCCCACTCTCTGCTCTTGAGGAATGAAGGTAAGATGCAGAGGCTTGGAGCAGGCTTTCTACTGGACTTGGGATTTTATTTCATTAAGAAAAAGGTTTCACATAGCCCAGGCTGGCCCCAAGTTCACTAGTTAAGTAGCCCAGGACAGCCTTAAACTTATGCTCCTCCTGCCTCTACCTCCCCAGAGTTGGGATCACTGGCATGCACCATCACACCCAGGTTATGCCATGCTGAGAATGGAACCCAGGGCTTCTTGCATGCTTGGCAGGAACTCCATCAAATGAGCCACACCCCAGCCTCTGACTTGGAGTTTTAGAGCTATATTATTGGGGTGCAGATACAGGGAAAAAGTCAGTAGTCTCCAGACAGCCACCCCAGCTGGATCCCAGGCTCACAAACGTCCTCTGTCCAGCTGTTTCTTCATTTCTTGAGGTCACCCAGTTCTTTGAGCCTCAAAGTTTCTGTTCCTGGCAGAGGTTCCTTGGTAAATTTCTGCTGCAGTAAGCTGGACTTCCTGGAGAGAGAGCCCTGGGGCACTGACACGGGTGGAAACACAGCCTCAGCCATCTAGGGCCAGAGAGGCTCAGGACCAGAGTGGACAGTGTGCCGAGGGCAGGAGGCAAGATGCCAACAAGCACTCGGCTGCCCCATCCCATGAGGAAAGGATGGGTCCCTAAGTGGGCTCCTCCTCTGGGTCCCTGAGTGGGCTCCTCCTCTGTCACAGACAGAGTGACAGAATTAACAGAGCTGGGAACCAGAACCTCACCGCAGGACAGTGAGCTTCTGACCCCTGCAATGCTTGTTCTGGGCACACACATAATTGAGGCAGGATGACAACAGAGCCTTCCTAGGAGTCTAATGTGGACCTAAGTGTCATGGAGTCAGAAGGCTGGGGTCTAGTCCTAGCTCTCCTGGGCCTCTGAGGAACTCACTTTACCATCTGGGCCTCAGTTTCCCAGTGTCAAAACCAGAAGTGGGACAGAGGAGCCTCAAGGCCCTTCCTAGAGCTCAGATCTCACCCCTTCACTGAGGACAGAAGGTGAAGATGAGGCCCTTCATCACCTTCTTACCAGGCTAGAAGACAACCTGAGTCCTTTGCCTGTGGAGGCCCCAAGTGGGACTTAAGGAGCCACAGCTGCGGTGCCACATCTGGGGGAAGTGTGTGGGCGGTTCCTGACCACCTCCTTGCTGCTTGGTCTGGCTGAGTGTTCAGGAGTTATGTCCGCCTCCCACAAGGTTATGGAGCCCCCTTCCTCATCCCCCATAACAAGTGACTGGGCCTCCCATCTGCTGAGTTTGGGGGGTGTCTATTGCTAATTGAATTGTAGAAGATGACCCCACCTCACAGCTGTCCGCAAAGCAAACAGAGCCCCAGTGACTGGATGAATGAAATGGAGACCATGGGGCAGGGTTACCTGGGACATTCTCTGCAAGGCCTAGCCTGGTGTTGGAGGGGGTGGTGGGATCCTGTAGTGACCTAAGCAAAGCTGGGGTAGAGGCGGAGAGCCCTTGGCTGCTGGGAAGGGCATGCCTTCTCTGAAGACCACATGTGCTCACCCCTGTCATGGTGAAATACGTACTACTGAGCCATCTCACTACACCCTGCCCCATCACACACCATGGGACTGAGCAGTGAGCCCTGATGAGCCCCATGTCAGTCCCTCTGCTGCACCATACAAGCATCTGTCCACTCACGGAAACCCTCGCACAGTCCGGGCTCTGACATGAACACCAGGGACACACAGGAACACAGAAACAGCCCCCGCAGCCAGGTATATGGACACCCAGAATTAAAGCCACACTTCCCAGCCTCCCCTGCTGGTGGCTGATGTTATCTGACCACATTATAGCTAATAAGATTAAGGTAAGAATGTGGTCACTCTATCCCTAAAACATCAAACAAACCCCTACAGCTGACTGGAGCCCTGCTCTTCCTTCTAAGCAGTCCTCTTTCCTGCTGGCTGGAATAGAGGGGTGATCCACAGAGCTGAAGCAGCCCTCTTGTGTGAGAGGGCACAGGGTCCATACTGCAGGAGTCATGGAGGAGAGGTGCCACAGCCCCGTGGCCTTGGCGTGACAGAGAGGGGAGTCTCCGTGCGTGCTTGTTTGCTCTTTTGGTGTTTTCACCTGGAGACCACTGAAATCCACCAGAGGCCACAGTGGGAACAAGAGGCTCTGCCTACAGACACTGCCCTGTGGGGAAGCGCTGGACTACTAGGGACCTGAGAAGTCCTGCTCTGCCTGATAAAACAGGCGTGAGGCACTTGTCCCGTGTCAGAGGGAAAGGCTGTGAGCCTCTGATAGAATGCATGCCATCCTGCACAGGATAGAGGAAACCCCCCCCCCAAGTGTGAAGACTGGTTAAAGTCCTGACCACAGCTCTGAACCAAGGGTGTACAGTGTCTGTGGTGTAGTACTCATTGCACAATGCCCACAGTGTGGTGCTCCTTGCACAATGCTCCTTGCACAGTGCTCACTGTGTGGTGCTCATCACACAGTGCTCATAGTGTAGTGCTCACTGTACAGTGCTCATAGTGTGGTGCTCATTGCATAGTGTTCATTGTACAGTGCCCATAGTGTGGTGCTCATCACACAGTGGACACATTGCTCATCACAGTGTCCATGGTGTAGTACTCATCACACAGTGCCCACAGTGTGGTGCTCACTGCACAGTGCCCATAGTGTGGTGCTCACTGCACAGTGCTCATCACACCCTCACTCAGAGGTTCTCAGCTCAGCCCAGAACATGGGCTAGCCCCTGAATCCTGGACCCTGGGTTCATATGCTCCTTGACCTATAGTCCAGCCTCCTCTCTCCTCAGGTCCCCACTGTTCTCCGGATCACCTAGGGAAACTATCTCGAAATCAAAAATCACAGGGCTGGGCAGGGCTGCTCAGTGGTGAGAGCCAACTCTCGAAAGTTGTCCTCTGACCTTGACACAAACTGCACACACACAGTAATAAAATTCAAACTTTTATTTCTTTGTCTTATGTGCGTGGTTGGTTTGCCTGTATGCATGCACCACGTGCCTGCCTGGTGCCTATGGAGGCAGAAGAGGGCACTATACACCCCAAGAACTGGAGTTAGAGATGGTTGTGAGCTGCCCTGTGAGTGTTGGGAATCCAGCCCCGGCCTCTACAAGAGCATCATGCTTTTAACCTCTGAGCCATCTCCACTGCCCCTGCCCCAAATTTTTAAATGTTTAAAATAAACAAAGGGGAAAAGGCAGGAATGCACATCCTGGCACTCTACGGGAAGCCTGGAGTTTTGGGGTGCACTGACTTGGATTTTGGCTGTTTTTTTTTTTTTTTTTTTTTTTTACTTAACAGTCAGGACCACGTGTCTGATCTCGGCGTGGATGATCCCAGCAGGCACTGGAGGCTGACCAGCATCGCAGCTACTTCAGCATCCGCAAAGGCTGCCGTGGGGAGACCCTCCACTGCAGACTCTGAAAAAGACAGCTTCGCATAGCATTCCCGAACTGTGAGGAACGAACTGTTTTCTTATTTGGGGGGAAAAGTGTCCTTTTATGGGAAACAGGCTCGGCCCTGTGTATGTTCGTCACATGAAAGCCACTCTGCCCTCATTTGTGGCCTCCTGACCACAAGACAAGATCTTTAATTAAAATCGGTTTGGTTGTGTGTGTGTGTGTGTGTGTGTGTTTCAAAGAAAACCATGGAAATAGTGTTTGTGAGTCAAGACCTAACAGACGCTACCCTAGTAGCCTTCTTTTTAGCCTGTCTTCCACGAGACACTGAATGGTTGGGAGGTGGTGTCATTGTGGCCCTGTGGGTCTGGGTCTGGCGAACCCCTGAGCATATGTGCTCTGGTCTTCACCGAGGGCAAGAGGAGGGTGCCTAGTGTATCCAAAGGGCAGGCCTAGGCCAGGGCTGGGGAATGCCTGGCTCTGAATGGCTAGAACGCCAGGGCCAGACCAGGCAGATTTGCTCATTATCCGCACATGGCCAGGGGGAATGTGGAATCACATGGCTTTTGGGAACTGTTTCTAGCCCAGGAATGAGCCTGCGGAGACCCGAGTGCCATCTAACATGTTAGCGAAATTAATGCTTAGCCGTGTTTTTGGGAATCCTGTGGTTGGGCGTTCCATGTTTTTTCCTCTGCCAACAGCTCTCTGCAAAGAAAAGCCAGGGCTGCACATGACAGAGCCCCACTCAAGCAAGATCTAGACGCTCCAGGCTCCAGGCTGGGCTCGCAGGCTTGCCCACCTTCTCAATGCTTCCCGCCTGCTCCCAGAGGTGGCTCCTCCTCGCCACAGACCTTTTAAAGTCTGCAGCATGGACTTGGACTCTGGCACTCAGACATGTGTGTGACATTTTCCAGCTCTCACTTATCCTCAGCTGTGCTGGACTAGCTACATAAGCCCAGGTGGACGTCTATGCCACTGCTACAAACGATCAAGGAAGCTGCTTTCCAGTGGCAGGGGAGGAACTCTACGATCTAGGGGTAAGGGCAGAGTTCAACCATGTAACAGAATGCACAATGCACTCACTTGGGAGGGGAGGTAATCATATACAGTCAATGACAGAATATGCATTTTATCCTATGAACCGAAGAAATTCTAAAATAATAAAACTGGGTTTCCAGAAAAGTGGCTGAAAAAGATGCTGAGAATCAGACAGGTGGGATGCAGGTGGGAGTGTGCACACCATGCACACCCTGCACACTGTGCACAGGCACACGTCTACAGTGTATTGGTTATTGTCTCTTTGCTATGACAGAATTCTTGACAAAAGCAACTTCAAGCAGGAAGGATTTATTGTGGCTCACAGTTCGAGGGTGCAGAGTCTATCATGGCGGGGAAGGCACAGAGACAGGAGTGTGTCACATCACATCCGCAGTCAGGAAGCAAAGAAAGATGAACGCTGGTGCTCAGCTCACTTCTTCCTTTATTCAGCCCAGGACCCAAGACCATGAGATGGTGCTGCCAACATTCAGGGTGGATCTTCCCACTTTGGTGACCACAACCTAGAAACTTCCTGGCAGGCATACCCAGAGACTTGTTTCCATGGTGATTGTGAATCCCATCATGTTGACCCTCAATAGAGACCTTCCCAGGGATAGACACATGTTACATGACTGGAGCTGTTTAAATCCCACCCTCAGCTGATGGAATAAATAAGCAAGATAAACCAGTCAAATCACGAGGCTGACATGATCCTGCCTGTTGTCCTGACCTCAGGGAATTCACAGAGGAACCACCCAGCAGTTGTAGATGCCTCCTTCTTTCTGAGTGCCTAAGAAGCCTATGCCAAGATAGGGGGGCAGAGGGGTAGGACATTGCCATATGTCATAGGGAGCTGAATGTGCAGCTGGTTCTCTGGCTGCAAGGGGGCTGTCTAGAGAATTTCAGGATAGCTGGAAGTGAAGGAACAAAGGCAAAGCAAGACCTACCGCTGGTGCGATAGTGGCATGGCAGTCATGGGGTAAACCAACTGTTTCCCGGTGGGATCTGAGGTCTGCTTCATAAGAAGGGATCCAAGTCGAGTACACCTGGTCAAAAGCTGGAGGGTAGGAGGTCACAGGTCATGCTGTTGTTTTGTTAAATGGACATGTTACCAAATTGCCTTCGAAGTATTTCTGTCTGTATCCACAAACTATCTCTGCTCTCAGCCTGGGTCAGAGAAGCTTCTCTCCAGTGTAGTGGTTAGCGCAGAGACTAGTGACTGGGTAGAGTGCTGAGGATAAGTGACTGCTGAGTTCTCACCCTCAATGGGACATCTACATCCATCCTTTCCCTGCAGGACTCAGGGAACATCGTGGAAAAGGAGTCAGGAAGAATGAAAGAGTTGCGGGCCGGGGGAGGGCTGTGACATGGTGTCTTCTGGACACGACACGGCCTTTGTACTCATCAACTCACAGCAGCTGTGGTGACCTCCACAGGATCAAGCCAGTCAGCCTCCCAGCATGGATAGGAGAGGGGCTCATAAAAGCCCGTCCCTAGGTGAGAACCCACTGACAACTGATGGCTGCTGGAAAAGGAGGGCCAATTTTCCTCAAAGGTGTGGCTGCATGGTGCCCATGCCCCCTGGATGGATCAATACCCACATGCATTTTTTTATTTTATTATTTATTATGTGTACAGTGTTCTGTCTGCACAACAGAAGAGGGCATCAGATCTCATTTTAGATGGTTGTGAGCCACCAGCCAGGCCCCAGCAAGTCTCACGTCACCCACACGAGCTGCCCAAAGGTGGCAAGTACCATTCTGTTACTGCTGCCCCTCAAAAGCAACTCAGAGAATTTAATTAGCTTGCCTGTCCTCCCTCCCCCAGGAGCGTGTGTCTGGCTCTTTTCAGGGTGAAGGAGTATTTTGATGGGCAACTTGTCACATGGCTGACTGCTCCAGAGTCCACAGGCCAGGGGGCCACATTTCTTGCCCCTAATTTGTCTGTCTCCAGAAATGAACTGGGAGCTCAGAGGCTGGCAGCCTTACTTGTACCTTTCAGGAATCCAGTCATACTGTCTACCCATCCTACCATGTCTGGTCCTACAAGGAAATAGCTTTCTAACAGTTAGAAATCTGTCAGTGCTGTTTTATCCCAGTTTACAGGGAATACACAAACCCACAGCTCCTTGTCCCCAGCATACACGTATGCATGCACACACACATACATACACATGTGCATGCATGCACACATGTGCACACATACATATACATGGGCACATACATGTGTGCACACATGCACAAACACACACTCATACACATGCACACACGAATGCACATGTACACACACATACACATGAACAGACATACTCGTGCACATACACGCACACACACATGCAGCTCCCAGTGCACATAGAAGACAGGGCATGTTCCCAGGAGCCCAGGCCGCTGGGGTCCTGCCCACCCCATCAGCTTCTCTAAAAGGCCCCTCTGTGACAGGAGGGCTTTGACCCTACACAATGCTCTCTTGTCCACTGGCCTCCAGAGAAGGAAGGGAGTAATTTCGCAGCGGTTTCCCCAGCGCTGAATTCTGCTGGAGACTCACGTTTCCCAGACTGATCTGCAACGCAGACTCTGTCCCCAAGGAGACCCAGCCTGAGCCTGGAGAAGGCCAGCAGGGTGGAACACAGGAGCTCATGCCATCGTGCTCCCTGGGATGCTGAAAAGCCCACATTCTGGGAGGACACTGGAAGCAAGGTACCCAGAGGGAAAGCCCAGCCAGCAGGCCAGGCGGCACACCTTTCTTCCTGTGCTCTGAAAGAGGAGCTTTGCGTGGTTGAGATTAAACACTGGACGCTCTGTGGTGAGAGTGGACTTCTCATCTCTGCAGCGTCAATCACAGAAACTGCATCCGGGTTACCACCTGCAGGTGCACTTGGGGACAGGCTGCACCCTCACTGTGGGGCTGCCCATGGTTCACTGCTTTAGAACTCCTACCTCAGTCCAGCATTCCCCCAGATGCCACTGGCCTGTGGTATCCAGAGCTATGGTACGAGCCCCCAAAACCTAACTGAGAGATGATTTGTGCTGAATCTGGCAGGAAGAAAGTCTCGGGTTTTACACTGTCTTTGGGAAAGCCCGAAGCCAACCTATAGCTGATTGAAGGAAACAAAACTGGCATTTAGGAAATTCTTCCCATGCTTCTCCAGAAGATCAGCAGGGGTGACTCCTCAGAAAGTTCCAGAGAAGGAAGCCTGGGACCAAACTCTCCACTGGGTAAGATCTGCCCTCCTGATTGTACGAAAAAGTTTTCGGACACTTTCTGGCTATCAGCACAGTGTGACACAGAGAAGTGACATTCCAAGATGGCATAGAGACTCATCTGCCTGCCTGTGGGCTTCTCTGCATAATGGCCGTGTGACTTTGAGCAACGTGTGTAACAACTGCCCCTGGGTATACATAAGGGAGTTAATACTTACAGTGGCTGAAGGCTGTTGGTGCATAATAAATGCTCAGCATGTCACTGTGGCATGTGTGATGGCCCCACTATCATCCCATATGCGGGACTCAGCTCTACCAGAAGGGCACAAAGGCCAGTGGTGGAGGCTGGGACTCTGTCACTATGGCAAGCTCGGTCCTGGAGAATGTCAACACAAATGCTAATCAACAACACATATAAGTACACGGGCTGAGGAGCCAGGCGCCAGGCCTGATGGCTGACACGGGCCTGCCCAGTGGCACAAGACTGGGCCTATAGGGCAGATGGACAGCAACCATGGCAGGTCCAGTGCTGACACCTGCCTCAGAGTCCACCTCTGGTGGAACAGCTGAGTTCATCGGGCTCCCTCCAGTGCCTCCAGAACCCCAACCTCAACCCCTCTCTCCACCATCTACAGAAACAGGACACAAGCAAGTCTGCATTTTGTCCTTGGACTTTGGTGCCTGGACAGGTGAGAAGTGAGTCTTTCTGCATGAAGTGATGGGAGCCAAAGCATCCCCCCGGTAGGGACCACCACCCCATGCCTGCAAACATTGGCTCAATGCTTCTGCAGATCCAGGAAGGTCTAGCCAGAAATCATCAATCACCATCATCTTCCAGCACTTTCCCCCAATATTGGCCCCTCAAGTGATATCTGGTCTGACTCTTGTCACTCTGGATCCTGTTCACCTGTTGGTCTGTCTTGCCATTTTCCTCCATGTGTGGATGTGCCCTGTGAGCAGGTCTCAAGACTCCCAGGAGCCTATGCCTGGACTATGTGTGTCCCATATGCTTCTTGATTCTGTTTCTGTCCCTGACTTCTGCCCTTAGGTGGACAGGAAGGCTGAGGCCCCGGAGTTGATACTTCCCTTCCTCCAGGCTCACGTGATGGAGACTTGGTCCTCTATGTGGCAGAACTGGGATATGGTCGAGCCTTTAATAGATGGGTCCTAGGGAAAGATGATTGGGTCACTGAGAGCATGGCATTCAGAGAAGATCCACAAGAAAGCACGTTACAACCAAGCGAGACGGCCCTGATCTGCTGTCTAGCCTTGCCACACCTCCTCCCTCCCACCCACTGCCACCTCGATGCCATTAGTCACATCATGGCACAGCCAGGGCTTTAACCGCACCACACTCCATGCTGGTTAGTTTTCTTTTGTCAACTTAATAAAGGCTGGAGTCATCTGAAGAGAGGGATCCTCAGTTGAGGATTTACCTCTACCAAACTGTCTACTGACAAGTCTGTGCAGCATTTTCTTGGTTGATGATTATGAGGAGGGCCCAGCTCACTATGGGTGGGGCCACCCCTGGGTCAATGATCCTGAGTTATCTAAGAAAGCAGGATGAGCAAGCCAGTAAGCAGCACTGCTCCATGGTCTCTGCATCAGTTCCTGCCTCCAGGTTCCTGCCTCAAGCTCCTGCCCTGACTTCCGTCGATGATAGACTTTCACCTGGGATGTATAAGCCAAATAATGCTCTTTTCTTCCCAAACCGCTTTTGGTAATAGTGTTTATCACAGAAACAGGGAGCAAACTAGGACATGGACACACACACACACACACACACACACACACACACACACACACACACATTGCCATCAACCTCTTCTCTTTATAAAGCACCAAGCCTCTGGTGTTTTATCATATCAACAGCAGACACACAAGCGCCCATTGCAGGTGGGAAATCTGTCCCTAAACTCACAAGCAGACTCTAGGGGAGCAACATTTGCATGAACTTGCTGGGCTAGCCATATCAGCCAGGGCAGGAACAACATGGTGGCTATGGCACAGTACCATAGGGCTCATTTCTGGGAAAGGCTCCACGCCCATGCCTCAAAGGAACAAAACCCCAAACCCCACAGACCTGCCCCCAGGAAGCTCTGCCTCCTGCTGTCTCCACAGTGCTTGGAAGCTCATCACTGAAGTGGGTTGAACCCTTTCTGTTGGTTTGAAGAAAAATAACTTCTCTTGTTTGTTATAGCCACATTTGTTATTTAAAGGGATGAAATAATTAAAACAAGTGGCCCCATGCAGTCGGGTTTTATCTCCACCATCACCATTTGACGTAATAATCGTACAGTAACTGGGGTCCATGAACTTTATCTGTCACCCTTGACTTACAATACTGATCTTTTATTTAACAATACATGGAAATCAGGTTCTTCACTGTAGCCAGCTTCCTGGGACCAGCTTCCCCATTTCTCTCTGACTAAGAGTCTTAGACAACACAGTCCATTTTCTCTCTGCTCTCAAGGCCAGGACCTGGAAGGTGAGAGCACACCTGGTCCTTTGGTCAACTCTGAGACTGTTCTACCTCACTCCAGCATCCCGTGTCCCCAGCCACCCTAGGCATTCCTCACTGAGCACTGAGATGACCCCTCCAATGTCTACTTCTCTAAAAAGGGGGGGGGGTGGATAAATGGTTCAGCAGTTAAATGTGCTTGATACCAAGAGTTTGATCCCTGGACCCTATATGGTAGAAAGAGAGAACCAGCTGGGCATGGTAGCATATGACTCTAATCCCAGCACTCGGGAGGCAGGGGCAGGTAGATCTTTGTGGGTTTGAGGCCAGCCTGGTCTATATAGTGAGTTCTGGGATAACCAGAGCTACATACATAGTAAGACCCTGTCTCAAAAAGAAAGAAGTTTAAATTTTTGTTTTATTTTTATTTTAAAGAACACCACATAAAATCTTTATTTTTACACTTTTTTTTAAAGTCAGAGTTTCATTCTGTAGCCCAGACTGGCCTCAAACTTACAGTGATCCTCCTGCCTCTGCCTCCTTCCCTTCTTCCCCATATGTAGCATGAATCTTAACAGTTCTTATCAATAAAATCAAACCTGAGGCCAGTTATTGGGGTGAATGTTGGAGGATCAGAGAAGCAGAACAAGCCACAGCTACCTCACCTTGCCAATTCCTCAGCTGATCCTGTTTCCTCAGACTGGATGCCTCTGAGTCCTCATCTAGAATGAATCTCAGCTGAATTGCCGCTCAACAGCCTGAAAGCTTAACCAGTCAAATGCTTCTAGTTTCTGGTCCTCATGCCTTATATATCTTTCTGCTTTCTGCCATCACTCCCTGGGATTAAAGACTCACTTTCTGAGATTAAAGGCGTGAGTCACCATGCCTGGCTGTTTCCAGTGTGGCCTTGAACTCACAGAGATCCAGAGGGATTTCTGCCTCTGGAATGCTAGGATTAAAGGCGTGTGCTACCACTACCTAACCTCTATGTTTAATATTGTGGCTGTTCTGTCTCTGACTCCAGATAAGTTTATTAGGGTGCACAATATTTTGGGGAACACAATAACACCACACCCACAAACAATTACCCCCTCCTGTTTTCTTGCCTCACACATTTGAGAATGCAGACAGCATGAAAAACTGCCCACAATCCCAGGCAGTGGACTCTTGGCTCCAGGTCTCCGAGGTGGCCCCTCTGCCCTGGCACCATGTTGGGACATGTCTACATCTCAGTCCCTCCTGCCTGCTGCACTGTGCCCTCCTCTGCTCCCATTCCCTGAGCTGAGGAGGCGTGTGACCCTGGCCGGGTACCCAGGGGTGTGTGGTCCTGCACTGGTGGCAGGGCATTCCCAGAAGAGTGGTTCAGTGAGGCCCCTGTGCTGCCTCAGGGACTCCAGCCCAACCAAGCCTCTGGAGGTGACATTACATGGCACAGAGGGATGCCCTGCCCCATCAGTCCAGAGAACCCGATTTGTGGCGGTGGTCTGTGAAACCCAACTCCATCCACACAGAAATGTGCAGACGGGCACCCAAGGCTCTCCTGTCCCATGGGGTACTACATGAGATGAAATGAAGGAACTACACCTCTGTGTAGAGGCCTGGGGGATTCTTAGTCCCAATATAGGGTGTCCAGCATCAGCACACTCTGTCAGCTTCTACGTACACATGACAGCAGGCCTGTCTCTGGGTCTTCACGTCTAGAGGGGTCACCTGGGGGTGGCAGGGTTTGCAGGGGCCTTTGGCAGTTAGAATGTGTTGACTGTGAGAAAATCATCCAGCTCAACCATGGACACTTCTGTAGTGTTTCCGTTTCACTACAACAACCAATGCTTTTTCTTCAAGTGTGTGTTGGTACTATGCTAGACAAGGAGACAGCTGACATACGAGATGGGACAGCCAGAGTCACCCCTCCAGCTGACACAGGCTTCTGGGAGTATGTGTGTGTGGGGGGGTGTCTTTTCTAGTCCCAGAAGAAGGGATCTGTATCTGCTGTGATTGGGGGCTCCAGTACCTTTGCAGATGTAGGTCGAGAATCAAAATAGAATGTAGACCAACTACATTTCCCAGAATCCTTTGCAACAGGTGCACCACTGGAGAGGGTTAAGGTCGGTGGTCGCCCCTGGACGTTTTATGTAAAGAGTTCCGACCTCCAGCTGGGTGGTGTGTTGGTGTGGTCTTGAAATCAACAGTCCCCACGGCCATGTCCTGGTTCTGTTCAGAATTCTTTTTGGAGCCAGCTACAGAGTTCACACCTCTGGTCCTTCAGGTAACCCTGCATTAAATCCCATCTGGGCAATCCAGATGTCAGGAAAGATGAAGAGGAAGTGGTGTGTGCGCCTACCTGGAGGCTTGGAGTGACCCAAGTGTCTGGCTGGACACCCCAGGCTCTGGCACCCGCTCCGGAAACATCCAGACACTTCCATGTGAGGCACAATTGGTCCACCAGTCTACCCAGGGTGCTGTGAGTGGTGTGTCCCTCCGAATGGCCACATGAGCCAGACGTCCGTGTTCCCTAACCCAGGTGTCCACAAAGAAACCCTCAAACCCCAGGGATGGCATCGGGTGGGAGGGCCTCTAGAAGGAGCCCTGTGGTGGCCCAGGGCCCCCACGAAAAGGACAGGAAGCAACTTTGTCCCCTTCCTGCCTCGTGGGGAGGTGACAGAGCAACGGGGGGGGGGCCCCCCGGAAGGGGGCCTACCATGCACCTGGGCCCGCACCTCCCGCCCTCCCAGAACTACAGAGAACGTGTCTGTTTTCAAGTCACTGGCCACTGCCAACGGCACTGTGCTCAGGCAGTGCTGACTGTGAGCAGGGTTAACACGGTCCTCTTCTGGGAGGCCAGACTTCAAAATAATAACAACAATAACAACAACAACAATAATAATAATAGAAAACTGGGCATCCGCATCAGTTGATCAGCTACAGGAGCAGAAAAGCTCCTAGCCTTTCTGGTCTCCCCTTCTGGCCCCCTTACCACACACAACACCCCCCCCCCCCCCGCACACACACACACACAAGTGCACAAGCAGTATTTGGTTTTGTTCCAAGGCAGGTGCATGTGGAGCCTAGAGGTTGGCGCTGGCATCTTCCTCAATCCCTCTCCACCTTCCTCTTCTTCAGACAGGGTCTGTCACTGAACCTGGGCATGATGAGCTAGGCTGCCCGGCCAGCAGCTCAGACCCTCTGGTTTCCACCTCCCTCCTCAGTGCCCAGGACCGGGGCTGTAGGCTGGCACCACATCTGGTTTTTATGTGGGTGCTGGGGATCAGCACATCAGGACTCACGGGGTCCCCATGTTTATACAGCAGGCACTTCACTCACTGAGGCCTCCGTCTCCCCAGGCCTTCCTGAAGCTCTACGTGCCTGGGATTTCTTCCCATGGAGGGTGGCTTTTTTTTTTTTAGCATCCTTTGGATCAATGTACTCTGTAGTTCCCCGTTTTCTTCTGCGGTGGTTTGAATGAGAATGCCCCCCCCCCCAGCCTCATGTCTGTGAGTGTCTGGTCTCCGGCTAGTGGAACTGTTTAGGATTCGAAGGTGTAGCCTGGTTGGAGGAGGTGTGTCACTGTGGGGAGGGATGAGATTAGAGGTTTCAAAAGACCGTGCTATTCCCAGTGTGCTCTCTGCTTCCTCCTTAGGCATCCAGATGTGAGCTCCCAGCTGTTCCTGCTGCTGTGCCTGTGCTCGGGCATCATGGACTGAAACCG